CTTGATTCATGTATTAATGATCAATTCATAATAATATTAACTTAAATAATTGGAATATCACAATAATTTAGATTATCTAGCATCCTACTATGATCAGGCTTACCAAATAACTTGGGTTATTTGGCAAACTCAATTACATATTTTACTGTTTATTTTTGTTAAAAAAAAAATTTAAATCAAATTTTTTTAAAATTGTATGAACCACACTCAATATATTTACATTCAAAGCTTTTTTAAACGTTCATTTAATTCAATAAAAGCATTTCAAATTTGCATTAATATGTATACATATTCCTAGTTAATAGTAACTTGTTTAGCAGTTATGTAGTAATTCTTGATTATTGTAGTTTTCCCAGCTATTTCTTGTACTTCGGAATTATCCATCTCAGAAACTCTACGGAGAACTTGTCGACCACCAAGTGTGGGATTTTTTTTAGATGCATTCGAATGTAATGGTAAATTTACTTTTGATGAATCTTGCAAAGGTGAGTGAAATGGTTTGAGAACAGATGACTTGGATAATGAAATCATTGAAAATGTAGGGTAAGCAGAAGGACAACTTGAACTTCATTTTGTACTAGATTTCTAAGAAAAAAAAAAGAAATAAATAAATAGATTTAAAATAATAATAATTGAATAATAAATAAAATAAATAATTACTTTTAATGTACTTAATTCACTTGAGAATTCCAAATTATTTGAGTCTTCCGAATCATTTGAGGCTTCCAAATCATTTGAGGCTTCAAGTTTATTCAGGGTTCCAAATTACTTGAAGGTAACTTCCCAACATTGTTAATTAACAGTGAAAGTGTGTCTTCTTTTTGTTTATCAGATGGATGGGCATATATGCGGTATGATGATTCGCTTTTATGCCCAGTCAATTACATAGTTGTAATCATCGGAATGCCTTTTTGAAATAAAAATGTGATGGGTGTAGATCTACCAGAGTGGTTAATGATATCACAACCCTCTACATTAATACCGACAGTGGTACAAATAGTTCTTATCAGTGTTCGATATACTTTTTCACTCAATTGTGTATCGTTATACTATTGATCGTTTAGGTCTAAATATAAAAATAAAATGTTAAAAAATAAAAATAAAAAAAAAATAAATATAATTATACCTTTTGCTTCTTTATTAATTTGTAAGTATAAAAAAGTACACTTTGAAGAAGATGGTCTTTTAGAAAAATATAATTTAAAATCATAAATCGGTCCTTGGCAGCTTTTAGAATCGGGAGGTACAGGAATTACAAGAGTATCTGAATTCCCATCAATTTCACCTTGGTCATTCTTTTGAAAGTTTTTTACAAACTAGATACCACCATTGGATGTAAATATAAATTGTGTGATAGACATTTTATAGTGTTCGCCACCTCGGGGCTGGAATAAAAGACAACACTATATAAAAATCCTAAAAGTAACCCTTGTGCTGTGTTGTTGGAAACCGCATCATGCTGAAAAATTTTCTTTAATTCTTCATCCATCAAATGTCATGATATCATGATACAATGCCCTTTTTTTTAATTGTTTCATTTTGCCATTTAATGCACTCCACAACTCAGCAAATTCTTTTCAGTTTCCTATATTAAATTTTATAACTGTGTTGGGATGCTTTAAAATATACACAATTAGCAAAGGTGAGTATTCTTTCTGATCACGGATTTTACGTATCCCAAGAACAAATTCAATTATTTCAAGTTCTAGTTGATCCTTATTTGAGATTATTTCGACACCATAATTGTATCCAACCTCTGAACGCCATGTTACTAAAATGCTAACTCATTTAGCAGTTGCTTTACGGGTGTTGGCAGGAATTGTGCTATTGATTATTTAATTTATTTCTTCACTTGTAGGCTTATGTTAAGTATTTGTTTTATTAGTCCTTTTGGGCATTTTTTTTTTTTACACTAATTTAAAGAAAGAATAATTTATAGAGAAAAAAGTGAAATAACAATTTTGTAAAGAAAAAAGTGAAAGAGCAATTTTGTAGAGAAATTACGTCAAATTTTTATTTTTATGAAGGTATTGTTTACTTTATTGTTGCTAAAAAATAGTACGTAATTTAATTTAAAGTTTAATTTATTAATCATATATTAAATTTGATTTCCGATCGCCATAGGATACCGGATAATACCGTTATTAAATGCTCTGCACCAATAACTGACATATTTTGTATAGAATTTGACCAGTCGATGTCTGGGCCCCTGTGGGGCCCAAACATCTCTCAATCAAATTCTATACAAAATACTTCTGTTATTTGTCATGTGCAACAATAAAATTGTAATTACACAAATCACAATGCAATTGTTGCATCATGCCAAATAACTACAGTTATTGGATGCTACGTATCTAATAACTATACATTATCATAGGTATAATCTTACATATATTCAGGTCACATTTTTTTAGATATGACCAATAAAAAAAGTTAAAGCACACAAACCCAGAATTGAGTTATAAAGATTCTTAGTGACCTTGAGCAAATCTATCAATTCTGGCCCATTTGACCAGGATTTCAATGTATTCTGAGTTTGCATGACCAAGTTATAACTTAAGTTGCAGCTCATTGGCTTTAGTCAGATTCAGCTATTGACAGTTGATAGTAAATCCATATTTGGTTAGTTCAATTTTGAAGAACAATAATAAAAAAAAAGCATTGATTATCATTAACTTTAATTGAGACAAAACCTGTTGAAGCAATAAAAAATATGATTTGAATGTTCATTATGGTTAAACAAATCTCATACAGTATATATAAATATAGTGCTATGTAATGCAATATTATGAATTTTAAGTGCAAAATTTCACATTTCATTGCATTTAATGCATTGTCCAATTAGTTATGAGATTTTGCGGACGCACACTCTAAAAAAATTTGCCAAAGTCTACTCGGCTGAATTTAATAAGCTATTTATCCCGGTGCTATATAAATGCACAATACATATTAGAAGGCTTAAGTTAGAGTAATTGCTAAACATTTGGGTATTAACAGGTCTTCTGTGGGTCGAGTTCTCAACCAATTTTAAAGGTATGACTGTGTTGATGAATTACTATCACTTTAAATAAACATTATAATACTTTGAACTTTATTATAATTATTAAGATATTGTTGACAAATAATAATAATATTTTGATCTCTGATTTCAACTTGTGTTGTATTTTTTACAACCCCTAATCGTATTTAAACTTTTTTTGCCTACTCGTGTAATATGGAGCGTTACATATTAAAAAGACAAATTTTTTATTTTTGTATAGATACAGTATATTTTAATAAACAAGTTTGCTATACTATAAGATAATTATATAATAAAAAGATTCACAAAATGAACTTAAAGTTTATATGTTTATTAAGAAAGTCCAACTTATGGTCAAAACCTTTTTTAGTAAAGATCTATTAATTGGCAAGAACAGTTTTTGGCATAAATTTTTGTATATATTATATTGAATAAGGCAAAAAAAAATTTTAATAAATTGTTGAAATAGTGAATGTAATACTGTAATATAATATTGATCGAACAATGTACTGTAATAATAGTAACTCAATAATTTTTTTATATACTAATTATGCACTAATCATACCGAAATCAATAACTTATCAAATTCAGCCGAATAGACTTTGGCAAATTTTTTTAGGATGTCCTAGAATTTATAAAAACAACTGTAATTGCTTCAATAAAATCGTTACTAGCCTAAATTAATTTGCTACATAGTCCAACAATAAAGTGTAATTCAATACTTTTCGAAATTTTCATTCACAACCTCACACTATAACGAAATATAATCTGAATTAGATAGAATATTTTAATCAATCAGCTTCTAACAGAATTTCAAATCATACATATACACACAAAGGTTTAGCATGTACATACATGCGTCAAAAACAAGATCATCTTTTAACAGCATACAATGTGATGTTTGATACGTGAAGGATAAGCAACATGTTACATTTAAGATCATGCGGACCAATCAGATCTAAGATTTTGAGGAGCAACATCATTTTGATCGTTGTATAACCATATACTACGTGATATTTATCACTCCGTTCCTGGTAAATTCAGTTAAGCTAGCAGAATAAATATTAATTACAAGGAAATTGTTGTGTTTTTTACAAGTCTGAGATAAAATGTTTCTATTAAATAGCATATATACTTAGAATTATATAATACTGAGGAAAACATGCTATAAAGCAAGTTTATATTAAACTATATATATGATTATATTTGCAGATCATATATATTTTAAACCTTTTTTTTAGTATATTAGGAATAAATTGTTTTCCTATTACTATCTTTTTATATTATATAATTTGGATGCTGGTCAAAATCCCAACAACAGAATCCCGACAGGTCATAATCCCAACAAAAAAATCCCAACAGTAAAAATCCCAACAAATCCCGACAACAAAAAATTATTGTTTATTTAAGTTAGGGTAAGATTAGGTGAGTGCATAGGTTAGAGTTAGGGTGTGTGACAGGTTAGGGTTAGGGTATAGGTGATTTTATATAGTAAAATTTTGCTCAATGAACACTTTTTTTGATTGTTGGGATTTGTTGAGATTTTTGATTGTCGGGATTTTTTTGTCGGGATTATGGCCTGTCAGGATTTTGTTTGTCAGGATTTTGACCCAAACCCTATAATTTAAATGAGATAAATGTTGAAAATCTATTCTATACACATTTATCTTGTTTGCACAAGAAATTATCAAACAGAAATTTCTTAAATTGACATCGTTCAACATCTTTTTCTTCATCTTTTTTACTCATGAAAAATCAGAATACCTAGGTAATATTTTTTTCAGAAAAAATATGCATAGAATTTAATTAGAAAATCGGATTAGAATCTTTTCACAGATATTTAGTTTATAAACACATAATGAGTTTTAATATTGATTATGAGTTGTTTAACCACCATGTAGTTAGGGTTCCTAGGTTTAGTTCAGTTCAGGTTCAGGTTCAATGAACCTGAACCTGAACCTAAACTTCAAATTTTGCAGATCATTGAACCTGAACTGAAACCTGAACTGAACCTGAACTTAAAGTTTTGGTTCAGTCAGGTTCAGGTTCAGTGACGAAACATAGTAAACAGTAAAAACATGTTTACTAAATTTTTTTTTTGTCTTTAAAATTTCTGAATTTGGAGATTTTCAAGCAAACCTCTTTTCTTTACTAAGTAAACCTTTTTCAATGCTTAAGTAAAGTTGTAGATAAGTGACTTGCGATCAAAATGGCGGTTAAAACATTAAAATCGGCCCAGTAGATCGTGAGATATAAGTATTTTTGTCTTTGCGATTATATGTTTTCTTCTTTATATAAATAAAGAAGAAA